TCCTTCTTCCTCATAAGGTCTAGTCTGATCTTATTTCATTGGTTGCCATCCTATTACATACACATGATGTGTCCTCGCTAAAGAAATACTCGTCACATCAAAATACATGAGAAAGTCATTTGTTTTTATCCCAAATCTTTGTTCTTCAAATAAGTGTATACTAAATGAACTGCATTTACCTTTATACATATAAACAAGCAAAACATGGCTTAAAACAGATTTTTTTCATGATTCAGTTTACAAATGCCGTGAGTTGTCTTCGTTTTTGTGAAATCCGCAAAGAGATGAGCAACTCATTCTAAAACTATTCTATACTGAGGAATATTTAAAATGTACAATAAAGTTACATGTTGTATTTTCCTATGTGCATCAAAGTAACTCTGGAGGATTCTCATAAAATTTCAAGACTATCCCAGAAATTCACTCTGTGCATGTATTTTTCTTTCATTCTGTTTTCTTCTATCATTGTTGTTTTATTAATTACCATTCATTGTCCCTTCTCTCACTCTAAGGAACTTTTATAACTGAAATTTTTAGTTGTAAAATTTTCTGTCTGTGGTATAATTCAGTGGAATTTTATTTAATTGTGACCTTGCCTTTGCAGATTAACCCAGCTCCTACAGATATATTTTAATTCTTTTTTTTTTCCTCAGCAGTTCTCATTGCCCTGACAAGATATAGATGTGAGACAAAGAAGAAATTTCTTTGTCTGTAGTCAGCCTTCAGACCTCTCTGATCTTTTACAAGCACATGTCAGGTTGTAGCTCCAGTTATTTATTGCCATTGCCTATTAGTCACTATTTGCTATGATTGTTTATTCTTATATGTGAATGACTTCCACAGAGAGAATTCATTGAAATTAACATTTAAAAGATGTAAAGATAGGCTGTCAAAGTGATGGTCAAAGGCTGTCAAGGTGGCCAAACTGTAATTGAAAATAGTGGCATGTTTATATTTTTCTGAATCACCTAATGTTTGGTTATATCATTATTCCTTATTTTTAAATAGCTTTGCAGAAATAAAAACTCTAATCATAATTCATTTGGTTTTACGTTACTATGTTTCAAGATTTTTTTCCCTTAATCTCTTTTAATTAAGAATTAGTGGCATGCAACTGTAGTCCCAGATACTCAGGAGGCTTAGGCAGAAAGATCCCTTAAGCCCGGGTACCATAGCGGGACTCCATCTCTAAAATTAAATAAAGTTTTTTAAAAGAATCACTTATACTGAAAAGGAAAAAAAACAAACACACACACCACAACCCCTCCCTGTCTCTGTAAAGGTCATTCTAAATCATGTTGGTGTTTGAGGGTAAATGCCCATTTTAAAAACAAACTCCCTTTTTTTCAGAGCAAAAATCTTCCCCTTTCTCAGCTATATGACTGCTGTCTAACAAGTAGATAGATTTTCTCCTCACAGTTTTGAATTTCAGGTGAACTTTTTCCTAATTTCTCCTCATGCTTCTATGGAACTGATTTAGTATTACTGTAAACCAAACCCCATTAGAAATGTAACTGTGCTTGAGTAGTCAAAGATACCATGATACATTTCACATAGATGCAATTTCAGATTTTTGTCATAGATCCTTTCCAGTGCTTATAATGAAGTTAACTATATCTTTCATTTTTCATTGTCTTAAAACTTAAGATTTCTTTCACTGTATTATTTAAGGACTGGAAATTTTTAAATGAAGTTGATACACAGATTTGGAGATTGATTAATAAGCATGTGTGGGTTTGGTGGCTCACACCTGTAATCCCAGCACTTTGGGAGGCCCCTCCAAAAAATGTGGGGAAAAGTAAATCCTAGTAAGCTAGTATGAGCTTTTGTGAAAATAAATTCGGGTTTAAAAGCAGCTTTTGTAACATATTCAAATATATGAAGAGAAACATTTCTAATTCTCATTAAAAAAAAGACTGGCAATAAATGTAGTATAACAGTTATAGAACTATAATTACAGAAAGATGAGAGGCTGGTACATGTTTTTACAAGATACACTAAAAATTTTAAAAACAAAAAGATATTTTAGAACTATGGGTTTTCTGTTCTTTTTCCAGGTTACCTTTTGGTAGCATTTCCCATCAACCTAAAGAACATCTTTTAAAATGTCTTCCAAAAAAGTTTATTGGAAATGAATTTTAGTTTTCCTTGACTTGAAAATGTCTTATATTTTGCCTTCATTCATAAATGATATTCTTACTAGATATAGAATTTTAAAACATTTTTCTTCATCAGTAGCTTTTTCTTTTCTCCCTGGACCACCAATGACATGTTAGATCTGTAGGTCTCCAGGGTCCTATAACATGCATTTTATTGCAGTCTTTTTCCCTTCTTCAAATTGGATAATTTCTATCAATCTTTATATTCACCTATTTTTTTCCCTGTCATCTCCATTCTGCTATTCAGCCCAGAAGTTTCAGTTACTGCATTTTTCAATTAAAATTTTTTCTTTTTTTTTTTTTTTATGGTTTCTGTTTCTCTGCTGAGAATTTCTATCTTTTAATTCATTCCATTGTGTTTTCTGTTACCTTGTGGAGCATAGTTATAATTGCTGCTTTAAAGTTTTGCTTGATAGTACCAGCATCTGGATTATCTCAGAGGTGGCATCTGTTGTCTTTTCTCTCGAGAGTTGTTCAATTTTCTTGATTCTTTGTATGTTGAGTAATTTGAGATTGTGCCTTGGATGTTGTACATGCTATGTTGTGTGGGCTATGTGTCTTGTTAAAATCTTAAGAATGTTGATGTTTGGTGTTACAGACAGTCAGCCCAGGTAAATTAAGACCATAAGTTCTGTCTTCGTGTCTGAGTAGACAGTTGGCCACGTCTCAGTCACATTCTCTAAGGCTTTGTTATGCTTTATGAGGCTTTCTTGCTCATTCCTAGTTTACAGATTAGTCTGAGACTTTTACAGGTTTTTCAAATCTCAGGTCAGTTCTCTAGGCCTTTACTTTTTGGTTTTGTTTTTTTTTTCCATGCATGTTTTATTCAGAGGTTAATCCTGAGACTTGCACCAGTGATTCAAACTTTAGTTCAGTTCTCTAAGCTTTTGATAGGTGGGTTTGGATATCACCTGAAAATGCATAATTTGGGGGCTTAGGCTGAGACTTCTGCATTTCCTACATACAGAATTAGGAGATCTTTTCTAGCTCTCTCCTCTCCGTATTTGTCCCACATGTTCCATGCTTTTCACAATTAAAAATTATTAGTTCCGTTCAAGTTGTTAGTGCTTTAATAAACTATACTGACTATATAATAAGGCTAGCCATATTTGAGACTGAAGATGGTGCATGCCTGTGATCCCAGCTACTCAGGAGGCTGAGGCAGGAGAATGACTCGAAAACCCAGGATGGGGAGGTTGCAGTGAGCTGAGATCACGCCACTGCACTCCAGCCTGGGTGACAGAGTGAGACTCTGTATCAAAAAAAAAAAAAAAAAAAAAAGAGAGAGAGAGAGATAATGAAGACTAAAAATTTTAATTTGGCTAATATTTATTGAGAACCTACTGTATGACATTGTATTGGGTAAGGGGCATAGAAGTGAATTACACATATGCCCTCTTAAATAAATTGCAGTATAAGGCAAACTACAGTACACTTTCGTAACTAATGTAATAGAATGCATAATAAACACATTTGCTCAGCAAATATTTTATTGTATACTATGGGCCAAGTACTGCTCTGGGCACTAAGAGTATAGTGGTAAACAAGACAGGTATACAGGAATAAATTTAAGAAAACAATTGAATTGGTCTGTGAAGGGGCATCATAAGTATCCAGAAATCAACTGAAAAAAGTTATGTTTAGAAATACTCTAATTAACCACATGGTTTGTGTGATAATCTGTGGCTGAGTACTACATTGCTTTATAATTCTATTTGGCAGAATTAATAGTATTTTGATTCTCTCTTGGTATCTAAAATGTAATAAACCTCAAGGTTAAATATATTGAATTTGATTTGGACCCAATCCATATTAACTCTACAAGATCAATAAAATGTCACATTTTTAACAAAAGCAGCAGAGTACACAAATTAGCTTTATCATGATTTTTGAAAAAATTTGTGTCCTTTTTTTTTAAAAAAAACACTTTATAAGCTTAATGTAGTGCCAGTTTTAAAAAATGATTAAGTCTAGCTAGTTCTATTAGTGAAAGAAAAAGGAATGGTATTTAACTTTAACCAAAAATATCAAAATTACATATTTATCTAAATATGTTAATTTCTTTAGGAGATCTTTCTGTGTTATCACAGTAACCCTTAGAGCTCACTTTGGAGTTTTTCCTTTGAGTACTTTCTTCAACATAAGATTTGCGTAGTATTGTTCATTTAAAAAAAAAAAAAAAAAAGATCACATTTTAAAAATCTATTACATCACAAAAATAATCATAGTATTTGACTTAAAAATGGATGTACTAGAAGAAATTAAATGAACTGGCTTTGTATAAAAGAAGGTGTTTCAATTATTTATTGCTGTATAATAACCCACCTCAAAACTCTGGCTTGAAGCCAAAACCACTTATATCTATTTGTTTATGATTCTACAATCCAGACTGGACTTAACTGACTTGTGCTCCTGCCGGTCTTTCCTGGCATCTTTCATGCAGCTACAGTTGTCTGAAGGCTTGACTAGAGCTGGAGCAGTCAAGATGGCCTAACGCACAGGTGGACATCTCAGCTGGCAAGTGAGGATCAGTGAGGGGCCAGCTGAGCCTCTCTTTTCCATGTGTCTTTACCTTTGAGTGGTCTAGCGTGATTATTTGTGTAATAAAACAAATTGATTATTTGATAAGCCTTATTACCTTTATTATGTTGCTTCTGTGAGGAAAAGCCAAATTACATTATTTTGTTTTTACTTATAACATTTTTTCCAGGAAAGTATTGTTTAAGAGGTATTTAGTCTCTGAAATGGTTTCATTTGGCATGTCTTAAAAGACAATAATTAATTATTACATTATATAATTTGTTTAGTAAGTATTTATATTTCTTTTTTTTTTTTAAACAGGCAATTGCTGGCTACTTTGATATATATTTTGAGAAGAATTGCCACAACAGGGTAAGTATCATGGTTTATCTCATAAGAATTATTACAGAAGTACATTATATTTTATTTTGTGCCCCAAGGTGTTTAATCAGAAGCATTTTGCTGTTGTAAGCAGTTGGGGCTTGTGTTTGGTGTAGATTAATGTACCATGATATTAAAAATCTTGTACTTTATCAGATACTTTTGAACTTTACCAATTCAGGTTGTGTTCTCTACGGGCCCTCAGAGCACCAAAACACACTGGAAACAAACAGTATTTCTACTGGAAAAGCCATTTGCAGTTAAAGCAGGTGAGAAAGAATAGTAGGGGGGAAAGTATCTTATTCATTCTGAAGTAAATGATATTCATTTTACAACCGCTTTTTATGTGCACACTATATTTGATGTCTTTTTTTTAATTTTTTTTTTTTTTTTTTGAGACAGAGTCTCATTCTCTCACAGAGGCTGGAGTACAGTGACATGATCTCAGCTCACTGCAACCTCCATCCCCTGGGTTCAAGCAGTTCTCCTGCCTCAGCCTTCTGAGTAGCTGGGATTACAGGCGTGCATCACCATGCCTGACTAATTTTTGTATTTTTAGTAGGACAGGATTTCACCATCTTGGTCTTGAACTCATGGGTTCAAGTGATCCTTCTGCCTTGGCTTCCCAAAGTGCTGGGATTACAGGCATGAGCCACTGTGCCTGGCTTGCACACTCTATTTCAAGCAATATAACAGAAGTTAAGATATTCTGAGAGCTTACCATATACATAAATTTTAGATGGCATATCATTTAAAGATAAACTCAAGAAAATTTTTTATTTTACATCTAATTTCTGCCAGCTAAAATAAGATTACATAGCTCTTAAAGTATCAAAAAATAATTCAGAAAACTTTTTAAGGAAATAAATAGTATTTAATAAGTTACAAATATAACTAAAAGAAAATAATTTTTCACCAAGTGACTAAAGGAAAATATCACCAATAAAATATGAGTTAAAGACTATTTCATTCAGTAGTTACTATAGGCCAGGCACAGTGGCTTATGCCTGTAGCACTTTGGGAGGCCAAGGCTGAAGGACAGCTTGAGGCCAGTTTTTGTTTTTTGAGACAGAGTTCTCTTGTCACGCAGGCTGGAGTGCAGTGGTGCAATCTCAGCTCACTGCAACCTTCGCCTCCTGGGTTCAAGCTATTATCCTGCCTCAGCCTCCCAAGTAACCAGGATTACAGGTGCCTGTCACCCCCCCAGGTAATTTTTGATATTTTTAGTAGAGATGGGGTTTCACCACATTAGCTAGGCTGGTCTCGAACTTCTGACCTCAGGTGATCCGCCCACCTCAGCCTTCCAAAGTTCTGGGATTACAGGCATGAGCCACCACACCCAGCTAAGGCCAGTTTAAGATCAGCCCAAGCAACACAGCAAGACCCTATCTCTACAGAAATATCAAAATTGGCTGGGCAGAGTGGCACAAGCCTGTAGCCTTAGCTGCTTGGAGGCTGAGGCACGAGGCTCGCTTGAGTCTGCAGTGGGCTGTGGTCACACGACTACACTCCAGTCTGGGTGACACAGCAAGACCCTCTCTCAAAAAAAAAAAAAAAAAAAGTTATTGCATTCAAAATGTATTTGTCTTTACATTCTCTCTACTGCCTCCTCTCTACCCATCCAAATCTTATGCAGTGTTGAAGGGCTAATCAGATTCTATTTTTTATTTTTAAAACTCAAAGATTGTTCACTCACATTAGCGCCTATAGTTCTGACATACTTAATACATTTCACTCTAGAAGTCAGAATTTGATTATAGGATTTAAAAATGTAAACTGCTTACTACGTGTAACTCTTCTTGTACCACCTTCTCTGAAAACCTCCTGAGGGCAGGATTAGCTGAATGTGTAACAAGCTTCAGTGAAAAAAATCCAACTTTTCTAATAACTCAGGGAAAGACTAACTGAAACCATGAGATACTGTTTCTTGCCCATCAATTTGGGGAAGAAAATACATAAAGTTTAACAATGTCAAGTGCGGGCAATAATGTAGCCAAGTGGAACTTTCATAGTCTTTTGCTGGCTCTTTTAATTAGTAAAACTTTAAAGAACAGTTTGATAGTATCAAGCTAAGTATAGATGTACTATCCCTACAGCGAAGCAGTTTTTTCCTAGGCGTGTATTCTGAACAGTCTTTCCCAGAACATGTAAAAATCTTCATAGCAGCATGGTTTATAGAAGGAGAAAATTGGAAATAACCTTAATTGTCCATCAGTAGAAGATAAATAAATGTGGTAGTTGCAGAATAGTATCTAGAGCAGGTTAAGTTATGTATATATGTTTCTGTCAAAAACAACATTGAAGCCAGGCATGGTGGCATATGCTTATCCCAGGTACTTGGGAGGCTGAGGCCAGAAGTTCCCTTGAGCCCAGGTGTTCGAGGCTGCAATGAGCTGTGATTGAGCCACTGTTCTCCAGCAGGGGTGACACAGCAAGACACTGTGTTTTGAGGAATTAAGGTAGGGGAGGCAACATTGAGCAAAAAAGAAAATTGCAGAATGAGTCTGACAAGATACCGTTTATGTGAACTTTTAAAACATGTAAATCAACTATACATGTATCTAGTAAAAGTATGAAACAAGCCATTCAGATTCAGCATTGTGGTTACCTCTGGGAAAGGATAGAAATAGGATTAGGGCAGGCTACAACGGGGGGTCAATGTCATATAAAAGATATATAAAAGAAAACTTAAAAATTGAAGGAACTATAATAGAATATTAAGATTTAACAAAGCTGAATGGTGGGCTCTTTATTATAGTGACCAGGTGGTTATCAATCTCTGTTTTAAGTATTTTATAAATTCTGTAGCTTCAGTTTCACTGTTGGTACATAAGTTGAGTTTATTAAATGCAGATAAATAGCAGGGTGAAACAGCATCTTGTCATTTTCTCACTTTGAAGTTGCAAGTGATACAGAACTAAAACCTTTGCTGCCATTTTCTCTGTCTGCAGAAAGCTTGAACACAACGAAACTGAAATGAGGCAAAAACAAATGAGGTCCTTTTAGCCTCATTTTTGGTTTTCTGTAGCTTTGGTATTTGGATTGCTTATCAAACTTGAAAATTTTGCTTTTTTTCTTCATTGTAACCATTTTAAAGGCAGTACTAGTTCATGATTTAATCATGAGGGAGATTTAAGATAGCATTTGAGTTTGATTCTCAAAATTTTCTCCTACCTCATTACAACAAAATATTGTTTGATGACTAGTGAAGTTTTGAAATCCTAACTATTCTTTACCCACTAATCTTTAGAGCAGGCGTCCCCAAACTTTTTACACAGGGGGCCAGTTCACTGTCCCTCAGACCGTTGGAGGGCCGCCACATACTGTGCTCCTCTCACTGACCACCAATGAAAGAGGTGCCCCTTCCTGAAGTGCGGCGGGGGGTCGTATAAATGGCCTCGGGGGGCCGCATAAGGCCCGCGGGGGGCCATAGTTTGGGGACGCCTGCTTTAGAGTAATTGGTTAGTGCTTTGCTCTTAGACATTTGTAGAATATCATGAAGGAGATACGTGATGTGAATGCTGCCTGCTGGCACCACCTATGTTTCTTTTACTATTGAGGTGTATGCATTTGTATTTAAATAGACCAATATATCACAAAATATTAAAATCCCCTAAGAGAGCACAAGCTGAAGAAAAATTTTAAGAGGAAATTTTGCAGTTGGAAAAACAGTCATTTCTTAGCTATGAAAGTATAAAGAAGGGATCATGTAAGTAAGTGTAACACTTTTTTTCCCCCTTAATCTTGCTAAGCCTTTGATGGTAGCACTAACGAATAGATGTTGGAAGTCATAGAGCAGAGTACTGAAGTGGATAAGCTAATCAGAAGACAAGCTCATAAAATCTATGGGAAGACTTTTGAGTTTTAGACGATTAGCAAGATGTGTATGGAGGATGAAATGCACGAGGTCAGGCAAAGTAGTTGGAGCAAATTGTTCAAGGAGTTCTCAGTTCACACAGGGCTGCAAGGGGTTTACATTTCTAGCTTAAAAGCTATCTAGATCCTCTGTAACAAATCTTAAAAGCAAGCCTTAAAAGGAAAAATGCTGGCCGGGCGCGGTGGCTCAAGCCTGTAATCCCAGCACTTTGGGAGGCCGAGGCAGGTGGATCACAAGGTCAAGAGATCGAGACCATCGTGGTCAACATGGTGAAACCCCATCTCTACTAAAAATACAAAAAATCAGCTGGGCATGGTGGCACTTGCCTGTAGTCCCAGCTACTCAGGAGGCTGAGGCAGGAGAATTGCCTGAACCCAGGAGGCGGAGGTTGCGGTGAGCCGAGATCGCGCCATTGCACTCCAGCGTGGGTAACAAGAGTGAAACTCCATCTCAAAAAAAAAAAAAAAGAGGAAAAAAGCTAAGCTGCAAGTAACCTAGTGCCCACAAAGGAAAACCATAAAATGGAGACATTCAACAATATAAAATTATTGATGTCCAGTATTCAACCAAACATTGGGTGCAGGAAAATGCCTGATAGGAACAGACCCAGGAATGATGAAATTAGCAGACAAGCATGTTGTTAAAAAATATTATAACTTTGCCTACAGGAACATAGCGAAGAGAATGTGAGAAGATATTTAAAGTGACAATGTCATTTGATGGAATTAATGGCAGAAGAGATCAGTGAAATACATAGCAATAAAATGTATCCAAAATAAAGCAAGGAGAGAAAAAACATTTAAAATAACAATGAACACATCCACAGTAGCCTATGGGAAAATATCAAGCACTCTATCCTAGTCCTTGGAAGAATCTGAGGGAAAAATAGGGTATGGTGAGGTGACAGGGACACGAAATACATTTGATAAAAGCGATAACCCACAGATTGAAGAACTCAATTAACCTGAAAAAGGATAAATTCAAAACAACACCAAAACATATTAAACAGTGATTCTTGTTTTAAAAAAATCTTAAGCCAGAGTAAAAGGAAACATCATAGAAGAACAAAGAAATAACCTTAGAATATTCATCAAAAACCGGCTGGGTATGGTGACTCATGCCTGTAATCCTAGCTGTGGTGAGCTCTGATTGCATCACTATACTTCAGCCTGGGTGCAGAGCAAGACCCTGTCTCTAAATTAAAGAACATTTTTTTTTAAAAGAAGATAGGGAAAAGGACATAAACAGATGAACAGATAAAAAACAAATAGTAAGATGGTAGAGTTAAATTCAAAAACAAATAGTAAGATAGACTTAAATTCAGACTTAAATAGACTGATAATTACATTAAACATGAAGGATCTGGACATCTCAATCAAAAGGTCGAAATAG